GAAAAGCGACTCCAGGGAAGAAGGGAATCAGATGGGACAAGGTGGTAAGAGAAGGTTTGGAAGGAGATAGGAGACGAGGAGGAGACGTTGGACACGGAAGGGTTCGGGGGGTTCAAGACGAAAGTCAAGGAGATGCTAGAGAGTAGGGAGGAGGCAACCCTTCGGAAGAAGGTACGAAGCGAAGACCACTTGGAGATATACGGGAAGTTGAAAGAAGGGATAGGGATGAAGAAGTACTTGGACGGCCCCATGGACTATGCGAAAAAGCTGAAATTGCAATTTCGAGTAGGCGATCTGGACTTGCCAGAACGGAGGAAGAGGTATACCAGCCGTAGGGGAGAGGAAGAGGAGGATAGACACACATGTCCATATGGCAAATCGGAGGAGAGTAGACCCCACATAGTTGGGGAGTGTGAGTTGTACAGGAAGGAAAGAGAGGATCTCGAGGAGGAAATGAGACAGAGAGGGTGTGACATGGACAAGTTTGGTAAATTAGACAACAGCGAAAAAACGATCGCGATAATTGGGGATAGATGGTGGGCACAAGAGGCCCTAGAGGACGGGGATAAGATGTGCAAGAAATTTTTATGGAGTTTGTGGCAGAGACGTAAAGAGCTCCCAAATGTTGGTGGTGTCTCTAGTAGGTGTAGGAACGGTGCTCCGTCTCGAAAGGGACGCGTGGTCAATGGCCAAATGACTACGGCAAGCAACAAATGAGTACGCCCCCCCCCCCCCCCCCAAGAAACGGAGCCCTTTCCAACCAAAAACAATTTGTAAAAAAACTACAGCACATGCCTTCCCTCCAAAAGGAACATAAAAAGGGTGTCGTCCTTGCGCAAAATGGATGCAAATGCATTTTTGCCTAAAGCGAGAAAATGATGAAACCAAATATCGTGGGGATTGTATCATAGGTCATTCCCTCTTGAGAGCAGGGGGAGGGGGGATACTCACTCATAATCGTGCATCCTAACCGTTAGACCATTGGCCTCCCATCCCTGCAAAGCCGGGACGGAGCACGCCGAGTTCTCACCGGACCAGGCTCTCACATCACCAAGCGCGAAGCGCCGTGAGGTATTCGGCGAGTCGCATGAAGAAGGGTGCGCTGCATCCTGCTAAGGGTGTTCGGCATCTTGTGCTTACTTCCCTGCGTACGGATGACAGCTACGTGTGACTTAATTTTTTTCTGGTGCTTTCACTTTCAAGACAGTCGCAAGCACTTTGTAACTGCCTCGAGGATGCTTGACCATTTTAACACAACGTGGGTGCGATCATCCCCCGTTGCGCGGAGTGAGGGTTCTCGACCCCGCACAACGTAATCTACTCGACCACCATTTACGGGTGCCGCAAAAAAAAAACAAAGGCGAAAAAAACAAATAGAAAAGACTGGGGGGGGATGAAGAAAAAGCTTACACCATAAATAATGAGAAAAGAATCTCCCTCGCCGGGAATTGAACCCGGGTCTCATCGGTGAAAGCGATATATCCTAACCATTGGACTACGAGGGAATTGCTCGACAACCCTGCAGTAAACTCGGGCCATATGGACGTCTTGGTACATCGGCGCGACAGAAACGTTACCATATTTTCAGACTAACGAACATGCCTGGTTGCCATCCTTGCACACAACGCATTGATTGTTATTGTTATTGTTGTTGTTGTTGTTGTTGTTGTTGTTGTCTTCACATTATTTAAAAACCGTTCCGGTCTCTCTCTACCCAGTACCTTCGTATGTCCGTACTGATCCAACACTCGACGTGGTCGATTCCCGTGGTCACAGGTTAACTTACCCTTAAAAGGCACACTCAAATAAACTGGTCCCGAGGGGTCCGCAAGTCAAATAGATGCATTTGTTCAAGCCAAGAGCGAGAAAATAATTAACGAAGCGAAACGTCCTGTACAGTATTACAGATCTGATGCGCTTGAGAACAGTACAAAAAAGGTTTTGCACCCAAAGGGGCGCATGTAAGCCATGCACCCACACCTTTTCTACCGACGGAACCATCAAGATCGACCTAGGTCTACTCCAAGGCCCATCAACGTAGAAACTACCCACGTCAGGACCAACCTAGCACCTATCCAAGGAATACCAACCTAAAGATTTTCCCATCAACACCAACCTAGCGGCCATTGCCGGCACACCAACAACCTAGAACTGAGCCACCCAGCGCCAACGTAGCATCTATTGGGTGGGTTTGGGGTTAGGGTTATGGTTAGCGTTAGGGATTTTAGCCGGTTTCAGGCCCGTGCCAAAGCAGAGCATCAATATAATGTTTAGATATACCCGAATTGCGCTGTTTGAATGTAAATAAATCAACATGTAGTTGCTGGTTGAAGGTAGAGCGGCAAGTGGAAGAAACGGATACATGTGCGTGAAGCTCGTTCCTCACACAGGATTTCCGTCGGTAAGAGGTGTAGGTGCATGGCTTATATGCGTCGCTTTGGGTGCATAAATTATAAGGAAATGGTGAGCAGGTGAAGAAAGAGAAAAACCCAACTCCAGAAATGAAAAAGAAACTCCCTCGCCGGGAATTGAACCCGGGTCTCATCGGTGAGAGCGATATATCCTAACCATTGGACTACGAAGGAATCATTCGACGACATGACAACGAAATCGGGGCATATATTTTCGATTATTTTGGCTGGCACTAGCTCATTAATCGCTTTTCAAGAATACCTCATTCAAACCATCGGGCACATCTACCATTTGTCTATCCACTTGTTTTTGCCGACAATGACGCACGCATGCGATTTTTCAACGGAAAATGACTCTAGAGGCAATCACCCATCGCCCGCAAAGAAGTATAAACCATTGATCCATGTACCGTAAGGATGCTGGTCTTGGCACGAATCGGTGTCTTGGTACACTCCTGTGCGACAATAATCTGATAACGAAAAAAAGAACGAACCGCACACAGTGTGCCAAGCAAAAATATTCGATGCAATATCCATGGAGACGCACATAAGCCATGCACACCTTTTTCTTACCGACGGAACCACCCAACCAAGAGCGACCTAGGCCTACACAACCTATGTAGCACCTTCCGACGTCAACACCAACCTAGCACCTATGCATGCAATAAGCTAGAGATTATCCCATCAATACCAACCTAGCGCCAATGCTGGCACACGAACCTACAACTGAGCCACCCAGCGCCAACCTAGCACCTATCGGGTGGGTTTGGGGTTTAGGGTGTAGCGTTGGGGATTGTACCCTGTTTCATGTAGTTGCTGATTGAAGTGACAGAACACTGCGCCTGTCAGTAGAGCGACAGGCGGAAGAAACGGGTACATGTTCGTGACGCTCGTTCCTCACATACATAGGATTTCCGTCGGTAGTAATGTGTGGGTGCGTCTATATGCGTCTCTCTTGGTGCATAAATAATGAAAAAAACGTGAGAGCAAGCGAGGAAAGAGAAAAAACTAACTTCAGAAATGGAAAAAGAAACTCCCTCGCCGGGAATTGAACCCGGGTCTCATCGGTGAGAGCGATATATCCTAACCATTGGACTACGAAGGAATTGTTCCGCGGCCTGTGGGAGAATTTAGGGTGTATGAATAGTTATTTGCAACCGACCGAGCGTCTCTTGTTCTCGATTGTCTCTTGTTCTCGAAATATGTATTGCACCAGGAGCGCTTGTCAGTGCCTGCATGCTATCCCACATGCATCGCCCCCAAAATAGTTCTCACTCCAAGCAAACGAAACACACGTGGTTTCTTTCCTATATGTTGATTTTTTTTTCTTCGATGGGCTCCTATGTTTTTTTTTGCTACTGCAACAGACCGAAAATGAACGCAAGGGCACGTACAGACAGGCCTGGCGACGAGGCGCGGCGGGCACGTCGTTTGTTCTTTTCCGGCCCCCACACCAACATACATGCAGCGCCTGCGTTTGTGTTTGTTTTATTTTCCTTAACCAAAAATGAACGCAGGTAGGCCTAATGTAGAGAAAAGAGACGCGGCAGGCGTCTTATGTCTTCGTTTCCCGGCCCCACACCACACGCGCACCGCTCCGTCGACATGTTTTCATTCTATTCTTCCCATCATTTGTTGTTGTTTGTGTATTCTTGAACCGAAAACGAATGCAGGTAGGCCTGGAGAACGGGGTGCGGTACCCTCTTGCCGCGAGGCACCGCGGGATAGACCCCTGGCTCTTCCTCGACCTCAGGGCGGCCAGGAAGTGGGTGCTGAACAACAGCGACGGCATGGAGGTGCTCAATCTGTTCAGGTATTGTATGACTTGCGGGCATGACGTTGTCCTTGTTTGTTGGGGGTAGGTACCAGCGGCGATCGTGGAGTTTTTTTTTTTTTTTCTCGTACATACATGACGAAGACTCCCGGTGGTGCTGTTTTTTCGTCTTTTTTTTTTAGAAAATATACGCTTACAATCAAAGAGAGATTGCCCTTTTTTTTCGAAATGGTACGTACCATAGCAGTCGAAGTTTTTTTGTTTTAAGTTTGTGGCGGGGGCGGACGTCGTGTCTGAAACGGTGCTCCTTTCCGGACACATCTTCATCCCCCCCGTGGTTATTGTCCAGCTACACTGGAGGGATTGCTGCCGCGGCGGCGTGCGGGGGGGCCGCGAGCGTGTGGAACGTCGACTTCTCCGCTAGCGCCCACGAGGTACGGCGGGGTTGCAGCTGCTGTTCGTTGGTGTTGGTGGTGTGTGGTCGTGGTTGTTGTTGTTGTTGTTGTTGTTGTTGTTGTCGTTGTTATTGCTGTTATTGTTGATGATGGTTTTGGTGGTTGTGATCTTGTCCTTGTTGTTGTTATTGTTGTTGGTGGTGTCGTCGTCGTCGTTCTTGCCATTGTCATACAAGTACTTCTTTTTTATGGCCGTCCTTGTCGTTTCCGTCGTCGTTGCCGTTGCCGTTGCCGTGGTCTCAGTCTCTTTTTTTTTCTGTCCTTTCATACAAAGTGATGGGGGCGTTGGTGTTTTCTTGCCACAAGGACACCGCTGCAAGTTGTCGTCATCTCAGTTGATGAAACAAAAATTTCAACCCAGGCTATGCTTGCATTCCACTCACGCCAACCTTCTCAGTCCCCCAGGGACCACCACGGAAGGTCGAGAACGCCTCCGGCGACGCAATTCCCCAATGAGAAATTGACCACGTTATCAGGGTGGAGAAGGGCTCGCCACTTCGTTTCGCAAAAAAAAAGAGTCAAAATCGACATGTGTGTACGTACAAAATGTCCCTTTTCTTCGAACAAAAGACGAGTGTTTTTCGAGACAGTTTCTGCCGCAACACGCTCTTCCTTCCCCCTCCCTGCTCCGTCCTCTCGAGAACGCGTGTTCCAATGGCCTAACAACTAGGGCATGCAAAACGTCGACCCCCCCCCCCCCCGGTGATGAGATAGCCTGGGCCGGTGAAAACCCGACGTACTTTCGTCCCGGCTTTGCAATGTTCTATTTAGCGACTACCGCATGCACAGCTATGAGTGCACCCTCACCAACCCACCCCCCCCCCACCCCCCCTCCCCCCCTCCGTCGTTCCCCGATATTGAACTGAAACAGGTTGGGAGGGCGAGCTTGAAGCTCAACGCGGGCTCGGCCGGAGAGTGCAAGTGCGAGTGGATGAAGCGGGACGTAAGTCGAGAAGCAGGCAGGCTTGCCGGCCGTTCCGTACAGCTTGAGGGTTTGGTTCAGGATTACAGAAGTACGGACGGCGAGTTGAGCCAAAAGCCTTGTACCTGTTAGAAATCGGGAGCTACAGCAGTGAGGCAGGCGTGCGTTCTGGATGGTCAGAGGCTCAGATTGCTTGGGCAGAAAAGAGATGGTGCACGTTTTCAAATCTTGGTTGCAGAAAGACGTAGATCGATTTTGATAAACGACCGGTGTTTGGCCTTTTCTTGATAACCCACTTCACAATCCTTTCTTTTCTGCTGCTGCTGCCGACAGCACCCTCGCACGTGTCGACGTCGATGCACCAAGCACGTACAATTGCATTGCTGTGCGTTGCAACTCCTGTCTACTCCCCGCATCAATTAGACACTCTTTTCCCTGCACGAACCCGGTGGGATGTACAGGCAGGTTGTTCGGTCACGGTTTTTAGTCGCGCCCTTTGCACACACGAGGAAGCCGCGTAGCCCCCCCTCCCCCCTGCGTATGCACTGAAAAAAAAACTCATACTCGACCCCCAATTCGGTGCCACAGATGCGACTTTGAACGTGCCACATCCCAGCGTGCCCCTACCTACAGCCGTTCTTCCGTGACAAGTTTTTTTTTTTTTGTGTTTGTGGGCTGTGTATGTATTCGCACACTCGCGAACATCGCTCAGGTCTTGCCGACTATCAGACAGCTGGCCGGTACTCCGACCAAGGACTACCGAGCGGACAGGCGCGGCCGAAACGCGAAAATATCGGGGGGGAGACACAGCCGGGACGCGGGGGGGCGGTTCAACCAGGTGTGTGAGACAGAGACTCTTGTCTTGCGGCGTGTTGTGTGTTCGGCAAGGGCTTTTCTTCGGTATTCGCCCGCGCGGTTCATTGATGCAGATGGCATACAAGTACCTGTTAGACTACTCAGTCGCCTGACAGAACAGTCTAAGGGTCAGCCTTTAGCTAATACGCACCTGTCTGCGATCAATGCATGTGAGGGTCTGCCTTGATGTTGAGATTGTCTTCCCCCTTGAACAAGCATCCCTCACGGGAAGGGGTGCGGCTGAGAAAGCCTTTTCTCAGCTACCGCGGCACAACCAATGCCCACGGCGGTCTTATCACTTTTTTACACGTTTACCGCCATGTTTTCTCAAAGTCGGGGGCTCTAATCTTGTTGCTGCTTCTTCCCTTCGATTCTCCGCGGCAAGTTAGCGGCCACCGTTGTGCCGAGGCGAACACGCGCTGGGGGGGCGAGTGAGGGGGAGTACGATGTACCCCGCCATGCCGTGTGTCGGTTAAACAAGAATATGTTGAGCGAGGACAAAGAAGAACCAGACTCCTTTTCGCCGAACATGCGTGACAAACTCTCACTCGCGGCCTCTGTCTTCAATTAATTTTCAGGGAGGGTACGCAAACCGCAATTCTCGAGGCGGCGGCGGCGGCGGCGGCCAGCGGGGGGGGCGAGGCAGCGGCGGGCGATCCAACGGCTACGGCGACGAGAGGGGGGGTCGGTCAGGGGGCGAGCAGGGGAGGGGGGGCGGAGAAGAGAAGGACTTGAAAGCCAAGCAGTTCGACTTGGTCTTCTTGGACCCCCCGACGTGGTCCAAGTCCAAGCACGGGGCAGTAGACCTTGTCAGGGACTATCAGGTCTGTTGCCTTGTCTGTTGTGTGTGTGTGGCACGCGTTGGGTGATGTCATCGTCTCCAACTCCGTTATTCTGCTACGTACGCACGTGTTTGTTTCGTTTGGTGTTACGAAGAATATTCTACATACAGGGTCGAGTCCTAGATCCCGCGTCCGTTGAAGTCTCTTTCGATACATGACAACATTCCACGGAGTCTAAAGGCTCACACGCTCCTCCTGCGTCTCCTTGAAGTAAGCATACCCTGCCCTCGTGGTGCATGCGTGCGTGGTCACATCACAGACGCTGTTCAAGCCGTCACTGCTAGCCACCAAGGAAGGGGGAGTCATCGTTGCTACCAACCACGTGTCGACGGTGGACTGCGCGGAGTGGGTGGAGAATCTTTCGAAGTGAGTGTGTTTCTGTGTTTCTTTCTGTGTGTGTGTGAGAGAGACAGACAGACAGACAGACAGACAGACAGGCAGGCAGACAGACAGACAGACGACAGACAGAGACAGAGACAGAGACAAAGAAACAGATAGAGACAGAGACTGAGAAAGAAAGCGAGAGGGGGAGAAAGAGAGAGATAAAAAGAGGGAGAGGGAGGTCGAGAGGGAGACAAAGAGAGAGGGCGGTTTTCATTATGTCCCCGCGAAAAACACGTAGTAGGAAGCGCGTAGGAAGTACGAGATGAATTCGAAGCGACCTTTTGTTTCTTGGCGTTTTTATCCTGGACCTCTCCCTTCTCGTGTTCCAAGTGTACTCGTGGGAGAAAAGGTATACTTGGCCAAGTACGTTTTCCCGTACTTTTGTGCCGGCATTTTTTGCGCTCGTTCTCGTTGTTTTCTCTTCTTGTGGTTTCAGCCTTAACAATGCGAGACTGCCGCTGAGATGACGGGCACGAGAGTCGCCTTTGCGAAACGACGAAGCGTTTGGTTTTAAGCGGCTCGCTGCACCCCGATTGGCGATGGAAAACCAACCTTCAGATGCCAACATCTCTGCGGAAACAACACAGATCTCGCCCCCCCCCCGCCGCCCCGCAGAATAAAAAGAAAAAGGCTTCGTAGACAAGAAAACATCGTCCGAGGTGTGGGCATCCAGAGTTGCGAGAGAAGCGGTGCTGCTCCGTCTCGAAAGAAAAAGGGATGCGCAATCAATGGTCGAAACAAGGTGTTCTTTTTGACGAGCAACGTCACGGCAGCAGCCTCTGTCCGCCTCGTGTTCATTTTCCACGCGTCCTCCTGGTGTTCATTTTCCGACACAGGTGCGCCGCGAAAGCGGGTCGAACGGTGGATTCCGTCCAAGTCCTGCTCCCCGAGGATGACTTCCCCAGCCCGGATGGTAGACATCCGCTCAAGGTCGCCATCGTGCACGTTTGACGTGAATGAGAGGTGGTGGTGGTGGTGGGGGCGTCATAGCGATGTAGAACACCCACTCAAGGTCGGGGGGGGGGGCGGGGGATCGCGATGTAGAACATCCGCTCAAGGTCGCCATCGTTCACGTTTGACGTGAAGGAGAGGTGGGGGGGCAGCATTAGGGATGTAGAGCATCCACTCAACGTTGCCATCGTTGACGACGCGGATGACAGGTGGGGAGGTGGCACGTCGATGACAAACGTAGAGAAGGCGGGCACACGCGGTTGGCGCTTGTGCAACAACGAAACGAACGCGTTACAACAGCAGTGTCGGATATTCATGTCTCCGCTAGTTCCTCAGTCGCTACAAGTAAGTGTCGATGATCTTCTCTTCTTGCCCAGCACGCCAGGAGGAGCTTCGTTCGACGTTTTCCTCGGTGGGGGCGGTGGGAGGAGGAAAATCTTCCAATCAAAGTCGTCGTCCTTGTTGTTGTGCACCGTGTCCCACGGCAATCTGTTTAACATCGTGCGGCTAGGGGAGCGGCGGGGGAGGGGCGCTAGTTACCAATCTTTACCCAAACAGCCAGGAGGAATAATAGTGTTTGTTTGTGGTGCATCCAATTCAAAGACCTTCTTTTTGGGGCGGTAGACCAGTTAGAACAACGGGGGTGGACCAACGACCAACAATGTTGACCAGGGCACTCGTTTTGTGGCACCACCGCAACGTCCGCGCGCGTACGCAGAAAGTACTTGCGTAACCAAAAGTGGTGCTGCCTTCGCCATACATACGCATCGTCGATCGAAAACGGGGCCCCTGCCCAAGATGGCGTGTGGTTGTGGCTGTGCATTAGCAGCACAAAGAAAGTCTGGCTTTTTCTCAACGAAAAACAAACATACTACGACGATGCAGCTGTGCAGGGCACCCTTGCCTACCTTTGATAGACTGTCGTGTACAAGCTGCGTTGGCGAGGGGGGGGGGGGTTACCTGACGCATTGAGCCCACGAGGGACTACTACTTTTTTTACAGTGTTATTATGAGCTTTCGAAACAAAACAAAAATAAACACGATTTATCATGTGAATATAATATATAGTCTATACATGTGGTCGAGCGTGCAGTTTGCAGAGGCGGAGTTTTTGTACGTGGCGGGCATAATGACGACAGACGGTCTGGGCCGCCTACACAATAAATGAATGAACGGCCGGGACTTTTTCCTTGGAGTGCATGAGAGCCCGAGAGGGAAAAGTGTGAGAAGGGGAACAAGACGCACGGAAGTCTCTTCTGCGTGTAAAAGAAATTGTCTATCCGTTGGTTGGATGCACGTTGTTTGGCCGATTTGCACATTTGAGCATCCCCCCACCCGATCATTTGGCTTTTCTCTCGTACATGTCATGAATATTTCGCCATCCAGCAGGAGGGTCCGCCGAGGCTGCCGCATCGCCCTTTTCTATCACCTATACTGCTGGCGCTAAAGAAAGGTGGCACCCGGGCGAAGAAGATCTAGGCTGCAACAATTCGCCGGGCGGAAAGGAGCCGAACAAGCCATCAAATAACAAGCCTCGGTGTGTTGTGCAGAGACACAGATAAAGATAAAAATCCTTGTATCTACATATGTATATCCTTGTGTGGGTCTTATCCAGCAAGTAGTCTTCTACACGGTACACCTCTCTATCCTCTATGGTCTATGTGCAACGGTTGGGTTCTTGCGCCGAGACGCTGAGACAATGGGAGCAACAACATCGAACAACGGTCCCGCCCGCGATCCGATACAGGCCTGGCTGTAGTGTATGTGACACCAGGCCGGAGAGAAAAGGGCCCATTTTTTTTACTTCGTACTTCGAGCGAGGGTTCATCGAAGGTGGTGCGGGGTGGGGCATGAAATGTATGTGCGTCCAATGGTCTGGTATGCATAATCGCGTGGTCCCGTCGTCCGGTCTCCAACTCTGCTGAACTTGTTCGTTTTGTTTGCGAGAGAAGAAATGTATGCTACCCCCGGACAACACGCCGGCGGGGGCGGGTGTGCAATGAAACACCTGATTTGTGTCGGAGAAACGTGCAAGCGCGGACAGACTTTAGACAAATTGCTGTAACTGCATTGTGGCATCACGACAGTCCCGTGAGATAAAAAAAAAAACTTCCATCTTTCTCTCTCCTGTGCGTGCCTCTCCCAGCGACACCTGCCGCGCCTCTATACCGCCCGGCCCTACAGACACGCAAGCAGCTTGCGCAACACGCCAATCCATCCCGTCGTTGCCCACGTCTACCCCCACGCCCGCCACCTGTTGCTTCTAACTTAGCCGCCCGGTGAGTCTCGGCTATGTCATCATCTTTTACGAAATGCGCTTGCCTTTACGGTTACGAGGCATCTCCTTGTGTCTTTCTTGATTTGTCGCTTGTTGTCGGAGTGCGATTTCAGAGTCAGTTCACTCGTCACCTCCCCTATGCTTTAAGTGCGGCGTGCCTGCAGTGCGGTGAGCCTGCAGTGCGGTGAGCCTGCCTCTACGCAAGTAGGCCCCGGGAAACGCGGCAGGTACAGCGCGTAAGAGCGCACGCACGGACGATGTAGTCACTTCGACCTCCGCTGCTGCTGCCGTTGAGGAAAGATCGCAACGGCGTTCGTTGTTGGTCATCGCTATTTGACGTCACCGACACAAAGCTCTGCATATACTTTGCATGCGTACATACACGCCGCTGCTGCTCTGCCCTTGTCTCTCTCTCTCTCTCTCTCTCTCTCGCCTGCTGCAGTGGAGATTCTCCAAGCAAAGTACAGTCAGTAGTCCTCTGGATCCTCTGCATGCAGTTTACAGCGCATCCCACACAGCGTGTTGTATGTACAGCAACGCTTTCTTACTCTGTGACGGCTGATTCCATCAAATGCGAGAAGGTTGATGCGTTCGTGAGTGCCGACGAGACCCGAGCGCCACACACGAAAAGGCGCGTGTGCATGCATGACGCAAACGTCTGCCTTTCGTGCCCCTAACGCGATGGACGCTCAAGTGTCCCTCGATGGACAACTGCAGCAGCAGTCTACAGACATGTAGGTAGCAGCACGGCTTGCTTGGCACGGCCACCTTTTTTTTTTTCAAACCCCTCAGTCCCTCCTGACGAGACGAAGGGAAAAAAAATGTCACCATCACACCCCCGCGCGTCGCGAGTTTGCGTGCGCTCCCCGCCCCTACGATACCAAGGGCTGCATGGTAATGGCAGCAAGCGGCCGAAAAGTCGAACAACAGGTGTGCTGCCCCTCGGGCACCACTTTCCCACATACAGCCTGTTGATCACCGCCTGCCCGCACTTGCTTGACCTAGTGTATTTTTACCTCACCAACTTATTACAGTAGACATCGAAGTAAAACTATATTTTCCCCGCCAAACCCTGTCACAAATGAAATGACCGCAAGTGCTCTGGGCTCTGCAGCAGGGCACAAAAAAGAGGAAATAAACGTGTTTGCGTACACAACGGCGAAGATTGGTCGAAGATAGATTTCCCGGTCGAACGGATATATATATATGTAGTTGGCTGGAAGTATTTTCCGGCAGTTAGGGAGGGATGTATGTACTGGACCTGTATGCACAAGTCTAGACTATTTCCAAGCCTCTACACTGAGGAGCAGTGACGCCAGCCCGTCATTATAACGACTACATCTCCCCCTCGGCAAATTTTGTATATCATGGATTATATGCTGTTGTTGTACCCGGAATATCTTTTTTTTTGTTACTTCATCAGTATGACCCAACTAATCCGTCTCTTATCTTTTCTGTGTGTAAGAGATAGCCTTGTCCAGAAACCCCATAAAATATGTAATTCACCTACAAACTACTGGTCGTCTACGACCAAAACATTTGGTTGGAAAACATGAACATTTATCATGCGATATGGGTTTTGTAAGGAAAAAAATAAAACAAAATAAAATATAACAAAACACATCCTCCAAGGGTGCACTTGAAAAGTTATCCCGCACACCTAGGTGTACCCCCCCCCCCCAGGGCCGAAAAAAAATATCGGGTTTTCGCCTATGTAGGGTTTTGAGCACACTTCATGCAAGCCACTTACGGGGGACACATCGTGAGCTAATGTACCACGGACGACGACTGTTAAACACCCATACTTCGAGCGGGCTAGGTGCTCTCTTGATGTGCTACGCACCCGATTCGTGTGATCATGGCTTGGGGGTTCGCAAGAGAGGACCCTAGCTCGCGCATAGGGCACCCTGACAATAACAGGGTTCCCTCCTGCGGGGACGCTATATTTGTATTGGAATTAGACCACCGTCACCCCCC